CCATTATTCTAGTGCCTCATTGTTGTTGGAACTTTGGAAGCTAGAAGACATGTCCATTGCACTCAAGCAAGTTTTTAATAAGGACAAGACATTCCGTCCCAAACGGAAATTTGAACCTGGGACCCAGAGGTTTGAGCTTCACAAACGAGCACAAGCCTCACTCAATTCTGGAGTGGACCTGAAGGCAGCTGTGCAGCTGCCCACTGGAGAAGATCTAAATGATTGGGTTGCTGTTCACGTAGTTGACTTTTTCAACAGGATCAACCTGATCTATGGAACTATCTGTGAGTTCTGCACAGAGAGAACTTGCCCCATGATGTCAGGTGGGCCTAAGTATGAATACCGATGGCAGGATGATTTAAAGTACAAGAAACCTACAGCATTACCGGCACCCCATTATATGAATCTTTTGATGGACTGGATTGAGGTGCAGATCAACAATGAGGACATCTTTCCAACTAGTGTAGGTAAGTTTATCCATGTCTAAGAATTGTACATTTTGAATGGTTTTCTCCCAGAATCTGTTAATCATAATATTTAAAAAATGGAAACTTTAACAATGGAAATTCCAATACTTTTTTCAGTTGTATTGAAAGCTTTGAATTGTATTGAAATACTTCCAATTTTTGTCAGTTGTATAGTGTATATAAACAAATGAAATGCAAAGAGCCATTGGTTTGTATTTGTTGCGGAGGAAGGCAAAAAAATTGTTGCGGAGTAGCAAAAAAGTAAGTCATTTCTGTGATCGGTGGAACATACATACTGTCATATAAGATTGCTATTGAATTTATATACTTTAAGGATTGGCAAATTTGCTATTATGTAAAGCTCTCTCTCATGAAGAGTGAATTGAATGTGATTCCATGAAGCTGTATATGTTTCTGGTTCTCATAAATAAAAGTAAATTGAAGATACATGATCAGAATAACTAGTATTTTGAATATTTACACTTTTTAAAAAATAGTTGGAAAAAACATGTAGGCAATATAAAGCTACAAATATATATATAAATTCAATACTAGTGTATTGGAAAAGCCATATTGACAAGGGTCTGAATGAGACAATATATTTACTAAGACCAACTAAAATGTACAAATGTTTAGAAGGTCGTTACATGGTGATTCTTCAGCTTATTTCTGTTATATTTATTTATTGTTTATGTATTCAATTCAGTTTTGATACCGCCTGACAGAGCGACTGTGGGCAGCTCACAATTTAAAAAACAGTATACAAATACAATAATATAAATAAAGAATACAATAAGGGAAATAACAAAGCAGCAATTCAGAGCACATCAGCACATACAACGTACATATCAAACACCTCTAGCACCTACCCTGCCCCAAGACTGGGAGAACAGCCAGATCTTTAAAGCCTTCCCGAATGCTGTCAAGGTAGGAGCTATCTTGGAGGAGTCTCATTCCACAGGTCAGGCACCATGACAGAGACATACATTGATTTGTAATCGGTCCTAAGAACAATACGGCTTTTCCACATTCTACGATTTTATTTAGGACCAAATCCAGTTGCAGCATTGGTGCCATTTTCAAAAGGTCCATATGGCAGGATTGTACATTTTAGAATGTTATTTATAGTATTACTTGTGGTGCCAGTAAATAGCAGCCTGGCTAATTTTGTTGTTCAATCCTGGCAGTACCTCTGTGGCAGGTTTGATTCCCTGCTGCCTCTTCCAGGATGAGCAGTTTTATAGTGTGAGCCTTCTCTTGCTCTCTGTTTGAGAATACAAATCAAGCAAAGAACAAACAAATCAATACATGAATCTCTGCCAGTTTCTCCTTCCTGGAATCTGTTCCTTTTATCCAAGTAGTTGTAACAGTTGTGGAAGGGCTTCTTTTATTCCTATGTTGGTCCAGTCAGAAACATGAAATATAGACTGATAGATGGACAGACAGATAGATATAGATAGATTTATGTCCCACCTTTATCTAGTACAATTCAAGGCAGTGCACCTAATGCTCATGCCTGTGAGATGGGTTGGACTGAGAGAGAGTGACTGTCCCAAAGTCACCAGTCGCCTTCTGTGCCCAAGGGAGAACTAGATCTCCTGCTTTCTAGTCCAGCACATCAACTGCTATACCAAACTTGCCCTAAATTTGTATTTATTGTAATTTTTTATTATATACACTGCAAAGGGACCATCGTATAGAAGAAGCATCCTATATTTTTAAGGGTTCTCCCATTATTAGCAGTGACTTGAGTGAGCAATAAAGCATAAGATGAGTCATACATAGTCATGTATAAGCTATGGCCATGGCGAGGCCTTTCACTGCTGCTATTCTACCTATTATTACTTAATTGGAATTAAATGATGTCTCATTCTTAATAATGTCCCACCTGTGTTGGATTGGGGAAAATATGCCCAACCAATCAGAGTCCTCAGAAAGAGTTCCTCCAAAGATCTGGACTTGTCAAGAGGTAACTAAAAGCTATTTGATTAGAAATTAGTAGTAGGTTTTACAGAAAGAGGAGAGAGATGAACAAAACTGATTAGATTAAGCCTAGCCCATAGCATGTGGCAAAAAGGCATGGTGTCCGCATAAATTATTTCTTCTCTTTTTGTGGCGACAGTGGTGATGTTTTTGAAAAAGTACATTTGCTTCTGTCATGGAAAGTGCATAGCATATCCTTGTAGAACCAAGAGCAGTTCCACGGACAGCCCAAGCTTCATCTCTCAGACTGTACCTTCACAGATGGTTTATAATGATGGATTTAGGCCTCCATTATTAGTAGTGAGTTTGGTTTATACTGTTATGTGCTATTAAGTACAGTACTCTGTTTTTATGCCTTTAGAACTTCATTTTTATTGACTTGATTTATGTATTTCCCTTAGCATTTCTAATGGCCATTTGCAGACATTATATATGTTTTCTGGGTTAATCTTTATAAATCTGCCTCCTTTAGTTTTATATGCATCCATACAGAATATTTAGAGAAGGATTTCAAGAAATGCAGTTAAGTAGGACTTTTGTTTAAGAACTTGTTCTTAAAGGGGAAGCAAGTAATTTCTGGAAGAAGGTGAATGTTTTGAGATGAGTAATTTTCCCTTTCTCATTTTTTCTTGTTCGCCCTCTCAAGCAACTCTGAGATTGATTATAATACATTACTAGTAGGAGTAGAGGAATGAATGTTGCACTGATAATTTAGACTAAAAATAAATATTTTGGAGTTACTTTTTAAAAAGGAAACTCAAAACTTCTGTGTGTACTAGGTAGAAGATTTCTGCTTTGAGTTCTTCATTTTCCCTCCTCTTTTTTGAATTATACTGAAAATATGTGTGAGAAATAGTGAGCTAACTGAATTATAGGGGCAGATGTTAAATCCTCAGCCCACTTCTTGGTATTTGGAGACTGCCTTTTGATGTCACTATAGGGCTGAAATTCAGATAAAACATTTTCAGATTCCAAATTTTCTATAGAAAATTTTCCAACTTAGACAAATCGGGCAGTTTCAGTTATATGATGCTTGCTTTTACATTTATTGTTATTTTTTTAAAAAAAATAGCAGGGAATTCATGGTCTCCCTTACTAGTTCCAAGAGCTGTGAGGGAGAGAAAAGAAAAGTAGCTGGAGAAACTGCAGACAGATAAGAGTGACAAGCATCTCTTGTCTTTTCCTGTAGCCCCCATGAATGATGGTGCTACATGGATGACTTCCTGTTTCTGTTGTGATCAGACAGGAAGGAGCCAGAGGCAGTTTTGCATGGTGCACCATGCAGGTACACTCTGTGATCCTTTCATCTCATTGGTCATCTCCCTTGGTCCATTTGCTCTGCTACTCAGGCAAGTCACAATATCTAATCTAAACAAAAAACAAACAGAACAATAATGTATCATTACAGTGTATCAGATTACATATATTAGATCTGAGAATAATGTGACCGTTATAATACAATAATGAAAAATTCACTGAAGCGAAGAAGAAAATTGCCAAGTGGAGTACTGCAGGCGGGAGTATGCCAGCAATACTACAAGCATGAAGAAGCATTTAATGTAGTGGGGGAAAAATATCCAGAAAGGATACAGAAGATTTATAGCAGTGTTGTCCAAACTTGGCCACTTTAAGATGAGTGGACTTCAACTCCCAGAATTCCCCAGCCAGCCATGCTG